TATGTTTCAAGAACCTGGGAAAAGCAAGGTACCCAGAGTGAGGGGTATATATATATGTGCCGGACAATTTTGAGGTGATTCCGGGCGTTGGTTCCGGAGGTGGAAATACTTACCCAAACTAGGAAGGAGGAGGTAGTAGGTGGGTTGTTGGATGCGTTATACACTGATTTCCTTTACATGATTGGACGAGGTGCATTTCAGCGAAGTGTCGTAGCCTTTGGGCGGCCAAGAGCTGCAGATTCTGAGCAACCATCGGCCCAACCGGGCCTACAGGCAGGCATATGAGTATTACTGGGCCTTATGAGTCACACAAGACCAGGTCATAGCAATACTTTGCTGTCATATAAGTCATATAAGACCAGGTTTTACATTGGCTTTGACTGTGTCAGACAAGTGACGTGGATGCTGAACGGACGCCAACGAAAACCATCCTGAGTCGACGACATCAAGACCGTAAAGAGCATGATTCGTCGGGTCCTGGCGTACAAATGTCCAGAGTCCAGCCTCCAGGATGAGGAAGACGAGCGAAAATGTGGCTTCTGGGGCTGTTTGGGGGCGGGGTGAGGTTCCCGTGGGAGGGATTCGCACGGACATGGCCGCCTTTTCTTTCGGGTGGGGTGTCCTGACAGACGGCACTCAGTGTGTAAGAAAATGGAGAAGGACCAGAAGGGGGAGTTATAGACTTAGGGGTGATTGAGAACAATCATTTTGGGAACAGATCGTTGAAAGTGGCTTTGGGAAGTTATAAGTTATATATACACCAGGAGTCACAAAGGGTTTGTTTTTTGTCCCCAAGGCGAGTGGATAATGGGAACCCCTATCCTCCAATAGGCACCCCTTTGAAACTGCAGGTGTTATAGGGTCTATTTAGTTAGAGAATCTCTAGGAGGAAACGCTCCAAGGATGCCAGCGGGGATGCGGGGTCTATCTCTTCACCTGTGGGGATCGCACCATCTTTCTCCACAGGCCACACCGAAGACCGAAGTTCGGTGTGGCCACTTCGGTGTGGCCTTTCTGAACGCCGAAGTCCGAAGGCCACACCGAAGCGGCCGTGAGTTGCTTTCGTTCTTAGAATCTCCAGCTTCTTGGCTCTCCAACTTCAACAGGTGCGGTCTGGAGAAGATCTATCCCAGCACCTTCCAACAGGTTGTTTGGAGACCCTAACAGGTGGTTTCTGGGCACCGGACTTGTCACCAGGAAGCACCTGTTGGAGGGTGCTGGTCGAAGAGGTTCTACCATGGTTTTACACTCCAAGTGGGGGACGTTATATTCATCAAGAGGTATACCAGCACCCGACGATCAACAGGTCTCCAAAATGGTAGCTTTTGGGCGACTTAAAAGTTGGTGGTGACCTGGCAGGTCCCGGGTGCTGCTGCAGCGGTCTACCTGGTTGGATGATATTGGAACCTTTGAAGACCTCCGCTGGCGGCCGCCCTGGCGGCCGCCGCCGGCCCTTCCAAGGCACTCGTTGCATCCCTGGTTTGATGACCGATGACTCGGGGATCCAGAGGAATAGCTATCGACTCTTCACTGACCGTGGCCTATAGAGCCCGGCCGGGCCGCGCGGCTGGGCCGGGCGCAGGCGGTCTGCGACGTCCGGCTGCGTGCAGAAAGGGCGCGGCGGACCCCCGTCGGCGCGGACCCCGTGGAAGGAACGGTGAAGGGTGGAGCCCCCATGTGATTTTGGAGCCAGTGAAGGGTGGATGAAGGCCAAAGCCCTTAGGTGCTGGGTGCCCAAAACGGTGACGTTCCTCAAAAGAGGGTCTTTTTGGTTGCTTCGAACTTGTCTCACCTTCGTCATAAACCAAAGAACCAGAGACTAATCAATGTTTCCTCCCAAACAGCCATTTCCATCCATTTCCCATTGGTACATATTCCATGATGTCATGTTTTCTGTGTGTCTCAGATTGAACATATATTATGTTTGCACCTTCCGTGGCTCTGCATGCTCCGCTTCCGGCTCGACGGTGGGCGGAACCGAGTTTTGGTTGGAGAAACTCAACGGAGTGCTTTCCGTGCACAGGAGCTTTGGCTAGAGTGGCTTCAAAAACTCGCAAACCATGGTTAAAGCATGCTAAAAACTCAAGGAGTTGTGGGAGCTGCTTTTGCCATTTTGATACAAAGGTGTGTCTAGTATCGTTTGCCATGGTCTATTGCAATACACCGGGGTATTTCAATGTTTTTTTTCAACCTTGGCAACTCAAGTATTGAAGAAACGGTCATTACATCAGCCCTTCCCGATTGCTGACCTACGGACTGCCCGGTCCGGGGCGAGGCTAGACTCGCTGCTCCGCGGTGTGTTTCGCCATGGCTGGTACCTGGCGAGTGCTGATTGAGGCGGTTCAGGGTGGGCCCACGAACGCGCGGATGTTAAGGTGTGTTTTACTATGTTTTACCTGTTTGAAGAAGTAGAGAGTCTTGAAAGAATCTGGATTTTTCTCGGCTCGGGCAATAAAACACAGTTCATTTTCCAAGACTGAGAGGCGTTCCTTGGGATTTTGGCCGTGCAGGTTTGGAAGGCATGGTGAGTGTCATGTTGGAACCGATCTGTAGTAACAGCTGAGTCGGGCGCGGGTGGTGTGTGTGAAGGACATGATTCCCATGAACACAGTGACTGTTCATCTCAAAGAGGTCATTGTGCTTGCCCATCATGACATGCACACAAACCAGTACACAAACCATTTTATACCAGGACCCTCCTGTCGGGGTGTCCAATGGACTACCCCATACTACCTATAGGCTTCCAGACAGGGCACCCCTTAGAGGGTCCTGGTAGATCATTCATCAAAGGTGTTGGGAATCTCAAACAACATCGGTGCCCAACATCATTGGCCGGTTCCAGCACCCGACGATCAACAGGTCTCCGAAATGGTAGCTGAAATGGAGACTTAAAAGTGGACCTGGTGGTGACCTGGCAGGGAGGCCGGATCCAGTCGTACCGAACCTCAGGTACAGGACGGAGACTGTTGATGTAGGCGCCAAAACGTCGGGCCCAGTGGTACCTCCAGGGTGTTAGTGCTGCTTCATCTTCGCGTCCCTACGTCGACCACAACCGACCCGGTGGAGCGGCGCCGTCGGCAGCGACTGAGTCCCTACATGACTTGGGCTCCGCCTCCTACCGAGCCACTCGGCTTGGGGGGAGAAGCCTGCTTGAGCCTGGCTTCTTCCCAGTGCCGAAGTCATGGCATCCAAATGAGTCATTTCTGGAAGGGGCAGGTTATGGCAAGGAGGTTTCTGGACAGACAGTCATTCAGATGTACTCAGGTTCTAGGGTTCCACTCCAAATCCAAAGTGTAGACAGACCACTCAGCTGACATTTTCTACCTTTTCGTTGAGGGGCTAAGAAGGGGCAAGAAGTTGGCTCTCCTGGACCAAGTCTTCATGTAGAATGCCAGTCATGTAGGTCATGTTTCCCACAGGACTCCGACTCCACAGCAGTTTTACTCGTTTTTTCGTTCCCAGGTTGGGAACGACCTGAAGAGTGGTCGCAAGCGACCTGGTGACCTGTGAAGTTCAGGTGCTGGAACAACCGTTCTCCTTCTTTAAGCAATGAAGCTTTTCTCACGCGAGGACAACAAACAACATATATACTGTATAATATACTCATTTCAGGTACCGGAAGTAGCGTGCTCTTCTTCTTCTTCTTTTTCTTCTTCGGCCGAGGTCGAACATCGGTGGCTGTTTCTTCTCTCCAGCAACAGTAAATTAATAGGAGTCTGCAGGCATTTACATACTTTGTGTACACGTACTTCTGCAGCCCTTTTGAGGTCTTGGAAAAGGGGCGCCATCACTTGCATGGTAGCGGAGCCCTGGTTGGGCTCCCGCTCCTGACCCCCTGTAAAACCGACGTAAGGCCCTCGTGGCGGCGGTGAGGTGGGCACCCTGTAAATCCACGTGAAATCTCGTGGTGTGGGCACGGCGTAAATCCCTGTGCCGGGTGGCAAGCAGCGCACATGGCAGCGCCTGTGACGCCGCCTCATGCCTTCGACATGGCGGCTGCTGCGGCTGATGGCTTTGAGTCGCCTACATCCCAACCACATCCGCTACTACCTCAACCAGTTCCTGGTCCGCGGCTCATCGACACGAAAGCCATCGGGAAGCTTCGAGCATTCAGTGGAAAGGAAGATTGGCCGGCTTGGGTGTTTGTTGCACGGGGCTACGTGCACCTACTTGACCGTGCTTACCGAGGCATGCTGGAAGCTGCTGAGAATGCCGCCTCGCAGAATGAGCTGTCCATGATCGATATGAGTGACACAGCTCAGGAATTGTCGACTGTGCTCTTCAACCTGCTCACCCAGAGCGTCGACGGCAGAGCTCTCCAGATCCTGATGAACGTGGAGGGCCAGAATGGGTTCCAAGCCTGGAAGGCATTGTGTGATGCCTATGAACCACCAGTGGGTGGACGCCACATGGCAATGCTCACGGCCATCATTGCGCCCGACTGGAAGAACATCAAGGAGTCCGAGATCCTTGAGACGATTGAGTCATGGGAAGTGCTGGTGAGGCGCTATGAGATGCAGTCCAAGGAGACGGTCTCTGAGTCCATGCGAGTTGCTGTGTTGATGAAGCATGTTCCGAGCCCGGTGAAAGATGCCATGAGAGCTGCTGGGACGCAGATTGGCACGAACTATGAGAGAGCAAAGAAGTTCATCCGGGACTACCTGCAGACCGGCAACATCTACAAGTCTGGTGGCGCACTGGCCAAGGACGATGGTGGCTTGGCACCTATGGATGTGGGAGCAGTGTCCCATGCAGAGAAGGGCAAGAAGGGCAAGTCAAGCAAAGGAGACAAAGGAGTCAACAAAGGTGGAAAATACGACAAGCAGGGAAAAGGCAAAGCACCCATCACGAAGAAGTTCAACGGCGAGTGCTCATATTGTGGAAAATGGGGCCACAAGAAGGCAGACTGCCGCACTTTGGTCCGAGATCGAGCACGACGTGATGGTGACAAGGGCAAAGGCAAGAACAGCACGAATGCAGTACAGGCAGCACCGAGTGGCTCAGCTGCACCACCATCTCCCCAAGGAGCTCCAGGCAGCAGCACCAATGCTGTCTACTACTGGATCGACCCCGACAATGACGAGAGGAAGGCATGGGCCGACACCTATGACATTGAGGATGAGTACAGTGATGAGATGTGGGTGATGATGATCCACAAGGCCAACAAGCAGGTGAGCGAATGGCACCACCTGAACATCTCCCAGCCTAGCGGCACCTCCGTGAAGTACCTTCTTTGGGACTCTGGCAGTGATGAACACCTCTGCCAACCTGTGTTCGGAGGCGACCAGCACACCGAAGAGTGCCGAGCTGAGCTGCTAGGGATTTCTGGGAAGAGCTTGGGAAAACTCGGAAAGAAGCGAGTGAGCTACAAGATTGTGGGCGAGAATGGCAACTTCCTGAATGCCATCACGGAGTTCAAGGTGAGCCAGCAAGCCAGCAAGGACTTGCTCTCAGCTGCCAAGATGAGCAAGAGTGGATTTGTGGCTGACATGAGGAACAAGTTCAAGCCATACCTCAGCCATCCTGACATCTCATTCAGGATTCCTCTCTACATCCACAGGAACTCCTACTACATCAAGATTGTGGATGATGAGGCCGTGCCGTATGACATGAAGGTGGATGCCACCGTGGCACCGGTGGTGAGTCAAGGTGACCAGTACGACTGGGAGTTCGCTGGTGTGGACGAAGATGAAGAAGGGATTTAGATGATCCCACTGCCTGAGGAATTTGCTCGTGATGAAGCCCATGCTCGTGCAGACCGACAGAAGCTGCATGGGTGGAGCAAGGTGGCAGATCTTCGAGCCCGACTCAAAGAGTTGGATGAGCCTATCTATGGCGACAAGCACACCCTGTGGACAAGGCTGAAGAAAGCGGAAGCTGCATTGAATGCACGGAGAGCCTCAGCAAGAGACTATGTGGAGAAGCATAGCGAGAGGCAGCAAGCCTTGCGAGAAGGGCGTGGAGCTGAAGTTCAAGAGCTTCCAAAGCCGGTGATCCCCAGTGATGAGGAGATGAGGCAGCATGCTTTGACACATCTGCCACCACAACCCTGGTGTGAATTCTGCACCCGAGGCCATGGCGTGGAGACTGCTCACAAGCGAAGGACCTTGGAGCAGAAGCTGACTGACAACCACTTCGAGCTTGACTACAGCTTCTTGAAGACCGACACCAGCCTGGCCGACAAGTTCGAGGAGTGCAGTGACACAGTGTTGTCAGTGGTTGACACTGGCACTGGCATGGGACTGGCCTTCAGCATCCCAGCCAAGAACTTGGGCATCCCCTACGTGGTGAAGGTCATCACATCCTTCATCGCCCAGCTGGGGTATGACACAGTGAAGCTGAGATCAGACAACGAACCAGCGATCAAGAAAGTGAAGGGGCAGATCGCTGAGGCCTTGAGGAAGGGTGAAGCACCCGGAGCTGCTGGATTGAAGATCATCTTCGAGGAGGTTCCAAGGTATAGTTCACAGAGCCTTGGAACGATGGGGGCATTCCAGAAATTGCTTCGTGGAGATGTCCTGACTTTGAGGTATGCAGTCGAAGCGGAGTATGGCATCACATTGCATACATCCCACAACCTATGGCCCTGGTTGGTGCGCTACTGCTCATTCA